CCGTCACCGTCCCCAATAGTTGATCCTATAGACTAAAACCGAGTTCTCCCGTTAAAACAGAGAGTCCTTAGTTGGTTTTTACCGATGCACAGTCCAATTAATGTTCTGTGGACTTTCGTTTCAAGAGGTTGCTGCAGAGACTGCCTCAGTGTTCGCCTTATGTGGAGGCATTGGGCATCCTAAACCTTTGCTGCAACGTACTTTAACCCGTGTGCACAAAGTGCAAAACAGTAGCTGACGATAAATGCAAGCAAGTTTGCTTCGCGAATTTAGTTTATACCCCTGCGACTTTCTTAAACGGTACAGAAGCATTACGGATATGCACAACTGAATAGGGGACCTCATCTGTGCAGGGTCGTTTTGGGGGGAAATCATGTGCATTATAAAGCGGCAGATTAAACAGGGTGGAGTAGTGTGTAATAAATACTCACGAAAACTGGCCTAAAGTATCCTGATTTCTGTCATGTAAGAACAGTTGATGGCCCATCTATCATAGAACCAACACGTTACAGGACACTAAGTTGATTCATATTCAATCCTATTCACGTGTTTTTGTGAGCATTTGCTCATCAGTAATGTTTTGTAGAAATGAGATGCTTCCTTTAAGTGGTCTTGTAAATCGGACTCACACAACCGAACTGTTTACTGCAAGGCGGGATCAAACCCCTTATTTGTTGCGGCAGCTAAAACCATGGGCGGACCCTAGGCACTGCGACTTTCAAGGCAGCTCCCCACTAGGAAGAGGAAATGTAAGGTACCAGTAAAAAGAGCATTGTGTTCTTTACCGAATGAGTTGGCAGCCAGACGAGGTGCGTGCGTCCGACGCCGCCCGAACAGGTGTCCGAGTGCCACCGGGCAGGAATCAGCACGTCTTGAGCGACAGCATGTTTGCGTCAGCCTTGAAGTTGATTGGTCGGTCCGCGCAGTTGTGATTGGCCGAAAGGCAGACAGAGCCTCATCGTTTCAGGGAGCGGCCAGACGCGTTGGGAACACCATAAAGAGCCTCAAAATGTCGGTCGAACGACTGTCGCCGGTATGTATTTGCAATTACGCGCCAAAGGCTCAGTGTTGCAGTAGGCGCCTGGAGTATTGTAACTACAGATTCGCACTGATGGTCTACCAGCGAGCTAACTGAGGTCTGGAAATTAATCGTCGTTGCCTTCTTTCCAACTCTCACCGCGAGCCCACCAGTCTGATCGACGTCTATGCTGGGATTGCGAGGGAAATCTCTTATGCGCAGAGAATCTATAACTGCGACGGACACTTTACGTAGTCTGTGATCTCGCCAATTAAAACATTTATCTGGAACTGATGAGATAATCACAACGGTACCGTATGTGGTCCCACTGATAAAACGAGGAGCAAAGACGTCTGTAACCCCTTAACGCATCATTAGAACCTTAACCCTGACTTTCAAACCCTAAGCCCTAAACCTAACATATTAGGGTTAGACTAGCATTAAGGGTAGCCTTATAAGTAGGTTAGGTTGAGGCTCGGTGAATAGGACAGTTCTAACGTTAATATTACCTTACCTTACCGCATAATGCCTCTCGAAATTGGTTACCGAGCAAACCGTAGCAAACATACCTAAATAAAATAAGTATTTAAGTTTTAGGCAACAACGACCAGGTGGGACCACACACGATACCGTTGCGAAGTTGATTTTCAGAACACACCTTCTTTATATGTGACATTTTTGTATGTTACCTTTAAAAGCATTACTGACGACTTATTTCCTCTCATTGGTCTCCGGGTAACGTGTTTTCTCAGAAAATACAGCATTCTTCTGGGTTTATTGTGGACGGATGGACTCAAGAATAACTTCGAATGACCCGCACACACCAACCTTTCTCTTCCTACAGTACTGTAAAATTCAAACGCTCTTTAATATTATTTGAAAATATATATTTCCTTGTTTCAAAAATATTCACCTTTATCATACCTTATTCACTTAGGTAGCCGTGCGCTTAAAAGTTTCCTCTTCTCGAAAGCGTTATCCCAAAGTAGGAAGACTCTCTCGGTCGTCGCGTTGCTCACTCACACGTCTGCCTGCCTACTAGGTTCACATCACTAGCAACCTGGTCTTAGTTCCAACCTGCTCCTTTGAGACCTCAGCTTAACACACGGATGACCACTCCGTCACTTACTAACCAGCACCAGGGACACCAATTTTTTCACCCCCTCCCCCGCTTCACTTGAGCGCACTTTCCCATGACATTCAGTCGTCTCATGAGCCTATTCGTCCATGTGCCCATCTATTAGAATTTTCACCAGGACACAACCCAGGCCCCATTACAGCACAACGTCTTACCTGCACACACCCATAGGCCACACACGAAACTTCTCTACGACGCACGCATGCAGGACACCTGTCAGCAGCACGCCACGCCTCACTCCTACAGCATGCATGCGATTACCCTTGCCAGCGCCGACACGACGGGCAAGACGTCGCATGTCAGAACATGCTCATTTCACGTATGTGGGAAACATGTCAGCTGCTGCTGCTGCTGCAGCTTGCTACACGAAGTGGGGGCCAGGTCGTGTGTGACACGCGGATGGTCTGTTCGGTCCCTTTGCCTGCCACTGCACCCAATTTAGTCACCAATTGATTGACAGGCGCATGGAAGAGGAAAAAGAGAGTGAAGCCGACGCTAAGGAGTTTATCCTCGCAGCACACTAGCGCAGTTCTCACTATTATAGATCTGGCGCGTTGGAATCTATCAGATCGCCCGAAGAGTCGTGGCCTGGAAGGTCGCCAACTGACGGGATAACTCGATCCTTCTCAGGGCTGACACCCAGATTGCAACGGCGCCTTCTCAGTGTGGCCTTAGGGCTCAGTCGCTGATGTAAGCTCCGATCCACCCTTACACATGAACTGGGAACCAGGTCGTGTGTGGCTCTTGTAAGCGGGGTGTTTGGCCTTGTCAGCCGTTACGCCCACGACCACCTCCGGT